GAGGCAGGGAGCAGATCCCTTGAGCCAGGAGATTGAGGTTGCTGTGAGCTGGGCTGACGCCACGACTCACTCTAGCCTGGGCAACAAAGTGAGACTCTGTCTCAAAAAAAAAAAAGTCAGAGCTATAACTGTCTAGACAAGCACTAACCCTACTGTGTTTTTTTCTTTCATTGAGAACCACCCTGACCTAAAGGGGAAAGCACCTTGTTAGAAGTGACAGAATATATTACTCATTATCTAATTTAAAGTAGGGTTTAAGTCCCTGCTTAGAGTCTACAAAACAAAAGTTTATTTTAAAAAATAATTTATTTTACCATAAGTAGTTATTGGTATTTAGACAAGAAAGCTAGAGAAGATGATGGAAAACAGCTCATCAAACTTCAAGAAGCAGTGGATTCACTGGTGTCAACACCTGAGAGAAAATTCATTTAAACCACACAGCAGAGACATCGATTGTCATCACTCTGGTTACCATTCTATCTGCCAATAGTCTCTTTCTACAATATAGGTGTATCTCCTGTAAGTTACCAGTATAGGAACTGAGTGAATTTTTTAACTGTGATACAGATAAAAAATAAGACCAATTTAGCTAAGAACTCTCTTGTGGCTTTCTTAATGGTTGTGTTGTAAGTTCTTTGCTTTCCAAAATTTTCTTTTTGCTTATGAAAAAATGGTAATTGATAAAACAACCAGGGTGGAGAAGAAGACAACAACCCAAGAATATCAGCGGTTTTTTCTGCACAAGGAATAAGCAGACAGTGCATTCTTTGTTTCTTTGAGTCTGAGTGCATCTAGGACTACTGTTCTCAGAAGGGAATCCACTGTTGCTGATCACTTTGTTGTAAACTGTATTGAGGACTTGGCCTTTAAAATCAGATGAAAAGAATCCATATCTGGGTTTAGATTTTCTTCAGTCAGTTTGAATGCATAATAGCCTTTGATTTTGACTTTATCAATCAGGTATGCTGAAAAATATCAGAAATGAACATTATTAATCACAAATGGACTATGAAATATCTTTTGAATAAAAATTTAGTTTTCATTGAAACAAGCTATAGTTATGCCATAAAAAATACAGTGATTCTTAAAGGGTTTTTGATGTTTATTATTTTATGATCCATGTAAAGAAGATGAAAATGTATTAAGTCTAAAAAGAGATGTGAAGTACAGCTGATGCATAAATACTCCCAAAATTGGAGAAAAGTTGATATTTAAGAACCAGAGCCGGCTGGGCGTGTGGCCTCATGCCTGTGATCCTAGCACTCTGGGAGGCCAAGGAGAGCAGATCACTTGAGGCCAAGGACTGTGCCTCTTTGGATGCAATTCAGAACTGATGGTCTGAATGAGTTAAAATTCTTATTTTATATACTGATTTCCTCAGTGTATTCTAAATATTGGAAGAAAAAACTTGAGCAGGTACCCATTTATACCTATTCTTTAGGTTAACATTTCAATAACCACACATTACACATTGGAACCTGTAGCTGTCTGTCCCCCACCACCAAGAATTAACTTTTAAGAATCAAAGGAAGCCTGTTGCCTGTCATCCCAGTGCTTTGGTAAGAACAAGGCCAGAGGATTATTTGAGGCCAGGAGTTCAAGGTTGCAGGGAGCTATGATCAACACCACTGCACTCCAGCCTGGGTGAGAGCAAGACACTGTCCCTAAAGGAATCAAAGTTGTTCTGTTATAAAGCCTTAGTAGGAACTAAATTGTGATTGTATTCTAGGCCCACTTATGTCAGAAGCTAAATTTAGTACATAATTGATATATATCATTATCTGATGGATAATGAACAAGGTTTCAAAGATACCGTAAAGACAATTTAAAAAAATTCAAGCAAATGCAAAGTGAGGGGAAATCAATTTGCTATTTGGCCTGCCGAATTCAAATAGTAAAACTTCACTTGTTTTTCCTTTATGCCTCTTTTCCTTGCCCCTGCCCCACTGACCTTGGCAGTTTTTAAGTATACTTTGCAAGGCATTTTTAATATTTCCTTTTGAGAACTATGTGCCTAAAGCTACACATAATCACAACTGATCAATTCTGCTTTATTATGTTAACTATGTAGGTTATTTCCACAGGGTTAGCCTGATGTAAGAGCTCCAGTGAAAGTTCTTAGTGTCCACTGGGTAATTCATTAACATCAAGGTCTTGAAAAAGAAAGGCAGTAGGAATAACAGAGATTTGGGATTAACCTTTTAGGTTTTGCTTTCTGGTCTCTACAACAGTTTAAAAACCTCTGGAAATTGAGGCCAGTAGATTGTGATTAAGTATTTAATTTTCAATGTAATCTATTCCAAATTCACTGGTTCATGCTGATTATTTATATTTAACTAATAATCCGGTAGATTCTAAGAACTGTGGAATGTGAATGGGTTTGGCACTGCAACTAGGCTCTGCCCCAACACTGTCTTCCCCCTCCCCCTTCTGCCTAGCTGTGTGCCACTTTACTTCTGGGTAAAATGTGTAGTAAAATTTGGACACTTACACCTCAAAGTTGGGAAAATAACACACAAATGCTCATCCATAGGAGACACAGAAGACAATGAAAAAGTCTTTCCCAATGGACAATTAGGACTCATTTACCACACCCAAGTTCTTAAATGGAAATCATTCTTTAGCTACAACTCACCTAAGTTAAACTGCAAAGGTCACACATAGCACACCACTCTGCTCTATTCTTAAGAGTAAACTTATTTACTCCCACAGCAGCCATATGTACCCATATACTGACACTCTCAATATTAACATCTCTACCCCACTATAATATTGCCACTTGGAAATTTCTCCCTCAAAAGAAATTATTTTGAAACTCTTTCAATACCTTCCAAAACATCTCCTTTCCCAGTCACATTGCTATTGCTAAGTCCCAAGCAATCTGGGAACCAACTACTCAGCAAATAGCTATATGCCATTACTCTAGGTACCTGGAATATAACAGCACACAAGACTGTATCCTCATCCTCATGAAGGTTACATCTTAGCAGGAAAAAAAATTAGCATATAATACATACACAATAAAGTAAACCATGAATATCAGATTACAAATGCTATGGACAAAAATAAGTGGAGAAGGAGATGACAGGAAGGTGTGAGAAGTGGCACTTAAAGGGTGGTCAAGGTAGACTTCACTGCAGACCTGAACTTGAGCAAGTGAGCCATACAGGTCAGCTGAAAGCCTTCCAAAAGGAAAAGACAACTTGAAGATTTACAATGACAGCACTTGATACTGAAGGTCAGTTCAGCTATTGTGCAGAAGTTAGAAAAGTGACAACTTTAAGTATAATGAACCTGTGTTTTCTAACTTTACCAATTATTCATAAGTAATCTTACTTCACCTAAAACTCCATTCAATGCCTATCACAACCTTTCCTCAGATATTTTTAAGCAAATCATTTATTTCACCCAAATTTCTTAAAAACCTAACCATATAGTCATCAAACAGATTAACTCCTCAGTATCATATAATCAGTTGGTGCACCCGAATCAAGAGTTAAGTAAGATCCATACGTTCCAATTGGTTGCTTAATTTTTCTGATAAAGACTCTGAACATACCTTATACATTTGAAGTTATTCACCAGGCTTTCCTCATGGACTAGATGAGAAATTAAGATCGAACATTAAACTTTGCCTGAAAAATTCCTGTTCTATTCCTTCTGCATTGTTATTAGTTCACTAGAGTTTATTCTTGAACTATCATACTTATCAAGTAGTTAAAAAGGATAATCAGCTTAAGAAAAAGTCCCAAACCAACAGCTCTTTTATTGCACCATCAAAATTACAAATACATCTTAGTAATCATGTGGTGTCTTCATGTGGCTGGACAACTGTAAAAAGAAATGAAAATATCTGTAAATCTCCATCAATACCCTTGCCTAGAAAAGTACTTTTCTAAATAATTTAAAACATACTTTAGGATTATGGCTTACTGGCTCACAGTAAGCTGTACACAGTAAAACATATGCAATGCTGTCTCTTATTTTGCCAATTTACTGTGTTCTAGATCCCAACTCTCCATTTTTTGATAAATTCCACTTTAAGTCCTTAAGTAAATCAAGAGTCTCAACTATGGTGGTAAAAAACTTATAGCCATTACAAGAACCCACCTCACCTCTTAGATCTTATTCATCAGCCTGCTGAACTGTTCCTTTTTCAGAGACATAGATACCATCCAAAAATTTTCTGATATCCTTGTTTTTAACTGTTGTGGCCTGCTGAATCAATGCAGCTACAGGGGTAAAAGATAAAGTAATTACTACATCAGCCAAACCCATTTTGAAAAGAAACGGTTTGATTCTTTGATATATATGTTCTTTATATATGCTATACTTAAAGTGTGAGAATATCCTTGATAGCTTTTTAATTCCTATAATTTAAAAAGGTAATCAAACAAAATGAGTAAAATACCATGTACCCAACTACAAGACTTAGACAAAATTTTGCTGATGTCTAGTAAACATACAAACCCGAATTTGAAACAAGCTCAATGTCATTTCCTTCGAGGATCAACTCATCTTTCTGTGCTTGAGATACTGAACAAGCAACACCTAAAAGGGGAGAGGGCATTTACATAGCGTTAAAATTAGAACTGTGTAAAAAACATTCAAATTCAAGGGGTAGTAATTTATGCCATTTAAAATTCTTTGTACCAACTGAACCTTCTCTTCAAATTTTTGGTTTATAGGATCTGACTTATCTGAGCCAAAATCTCATTTGTGTCCCTGCTTAAATGAACCATAGCCCCACAGCAGTTATCAACTCTCTCAGTGATTCAAAGTAATGAGATAGTGAAGTTTAGCTGCACAAAGCCTTCCACCAAGTATTTCAGCGTTTACTATGTATTGGCAAGCACTGTTATAAGTATTTTCCAAATTTAACTCATTTACTCATGAGAAGTACCCAATTTTACAAATGAATAAAAAAAAGCTACAGGAGGCAATTTACCCAAGGTAGATAATGAGAGCTGAACTTTAAACTTAGGCTATTAACCACTATTCAAATGATCCTTCCTTTGGATTAGATGAATATGTTCATTAGCCTGGCTTGGCCATTGCACAATGGATACATTAGTGAAACATCATATCACATGTAACCCCAAAATACAATCGTATACGTTTTTTGCAAATTAGAAGTAAAAATGCAGCTACTGTGCCCTACAAACCACTCCAATGTATAACCCTTAAGGAATCCAAATGATGATACAAACCCCTACCCAAGAGCTATTAAAAGAATAATCAAAAGAGAAAATTCTGAAATAAATCTAGTTAAGCATCTCTGAGGGTATGCACACATACCTGGCCTCATCCGAACCCTGCGGATGTATTTTTCACCTAAGAAATTCCGTATTTCAACAAGAGACCCATTCTCCTGGATAACAACATTGATGGGGAAGTGAGCATACACAGACCTCATCTTGTAACGGAAACCCTATATTAAACAAACAAGCTATTAACAAGGCTACATTTTTTAAAATCCAGTTTTTGAATTTTGTAAGACGCTTATGATTATTTAGTAACAATTCTCACATAGCACTCATTATCAAGATTTTTTAACTGTCACCCATACCAAGAAACTAACACGTTTCTGTGTCTCCTCATTGGAATGCAAAGCTCTATAAGGAGGCATTTACTTCATCTCTTAAACCCACAGTAAACAATGCTGGCTTCTTTTATTAAGAACCCCCAAGTCCCTCATTTTGGGCATTAGACTAACATTTACCAAGTTAAAAGGTACACAAGAATTGAGGCTATCAAACCAAACAAGACAGGCCCCTTGGTCTTCAAGGAACTTAGTCTGGGAACAAGGGTAGAAAGGGAAAAACGAGACCTTAACAGGTTTTTAACGGAAGTACAGAGTGCCATTAACAGGTATACCCTAGAAGGGCTGGGTTTAATGCAAATAAAACCATTTCAGCATGAACTTATCTAAGGAGGAAGGGGACTGGAAAGAATAGTGGCATCAGTTATCAAATGTACATTTAAAGAAATGTGCTGGGAGCTCAGAGATTATATCTTTTCCTATCCCTAAGAAGAGTCCTATTGGTGAGATAAGTAACAGCTAGTAATCAAAGTCTACTCTACCTGCTGCAGCTGTAGCAGATTTCCTATAAAAAATTTGTGAAGGTGTGTGTGAATATCACCATCAGCCTACTTTTAAAAAACTGCACTGATCATCTAGTCTTCATTCACATTTATCATTTAATACTAAATACCCAAGGATGCCTATCTGCCAAGTTCTAGAGTTCATGTATGTCCCAAATTACGTGCATAAGCCATTCTCTGTAGTAGACACATATATACTTTAAGTATACTTAAAGTACAGGTAAGAAACCTCCTGTTCCAAAACAAAGAAGTCTGATCAGTCTGCTTACCAGTGTGACACCCTTGATCATATTCTGTACATGACTACAAATAGTGCGAACAGTAGCCAGTTCCTTTCTATTTCCCCACCATTTGTCAACCCGGAGCCTCTTCTTTTTCTTTCCAAGGAGACTAAGTTCTACATTGATGTGATTGAAGTCCCTCCGCAGGGTTCCTCTGGGACCCTTCACGATAACTGTACGTCCCTTAAGAGTGATGTCCACTACAACAGAGAACGTATTTGTGAGACCACAGAACAAGGCTTAAGAGCATGCAGTAAAAATGTAAGAAAAAAACATCAAGTCTCATACCATTTTCTGGAATGTCGACAGTCTGATTGCTGAGAATGGTCTTCATTCTGAAACGCAAACACTTGGGGTAAACAGGCCAGACACAGGGCCCGTTTCCCACCAAACCGCACCGCACAGAGCCCCACTCCTACCGGAGAATGCTAGGCAGAAATTCGGGGACTACGGAACTGAAAACAAGTGCGTCTCAGCCTGGAAGGAGCAGCCCCAACACGGGTGTTAAGGCCCAGCGGGCGAACTCCCGCTCAGTTCAGCCCTGCAAATCCTATCCAGGCGGCGCCATCCCAGCAAGACTTGTGGGGCAGGGGTAGGCCCAAAAGCCCAGAACAGGACTCGTATCCCGGCGCCACCAGGTCCATATAGCGCTCGCCGAGCTGGGGAACAACCGGGATGAGGACTCCGTGCGTCGGACCCGCGCCGCAAGCCTTCCCAGAGCCGATGGCTCGAGATTCCCAAAGCCCACAGACTACAGAAACGTACTCACCTCGCGGGAGATACGGCAAAGAGACAGCGTCTGTCGTCATCACGTTCTTGTATCCCGTAAGGGGGGGGCCTGCGTATTGCGTCATGAGTGCGCGACTTCACGAAGGCTAACCCAGCCATTCGCGGAGCAGCTCGAGTTCCACCGGAACTGTGGTGGCTCTCGTGATTTGTCATAAGCTGAGCGACGGCTTTTTGATCTGTCCTTTCCCGGGACTTAGTGTTCCCTCATCCTTTCGACCCTGCTAGGCCTGAAGAGATGTCTCTACGCTGCAGGGACGCCGCCCGCACCCTGGGGCCTTGGGTGAGCGGCGGGGTAAGCAGGGTTCCGGCGAGGGTTGGAGGGCTCCTATCCCTTTCTAGCGCCCAATAACGAAAACCAACGCTAAATGAACATTTGTTTCTAGCCAAGCGCAGTTGTAAACGTTTTTCATGTAGTATCTCATTTAATTCTCCTGACGCCCTTATGAGGTAGAGTCTCTGGCATTGGTTTGTTTGAATGTCTCTCTGGGCTCAGGCTGGTTTCAAACTCCTGACCTTGAGCAATCCGCCTGCCTCAGCCTCCCAGAGTGCTAGGATTACAGGCGTGAGCCACCACGCCCGGCCTGACTACTAGTTTTGAGCTTTATAATCCGCTGTATTCAGAATCTGGTTTTCCAACTTCCCTAAACAAAATCGGCTATTTTAAAGCAATCGTATATGATACGGTCTTAAGTCACTATCTTCCTAACAAGCAACTGGAGTGTCCAAAAAGAAAAAAAAAACCTCACCCTCTTCTTTTTCTTTCCAAGGAGACTAAGTTCTACATTGATGTGATTGAAGTCCCTCCGCAGGGTTCCTCTGGGACCCTTCACGATAACTGTACGTCCCTTAAGAGTGATGTCCAGTATTTTCCAAATTTAACTCATTTACTCATGAGAAGTACCCAATTTTACAAATGAATAAAAAAAAGCTACAGGAGGCAATTTACCCAAGGTAGA